CTACTGCTACTACAGGTGCTGCTGCTACTGCTACTACAGGTGCTGCCGCTACTGCTACTGCTACTACTACTACAGGTGCTGCTGCTGCTACTACTACTACAGGTGCTGCTGCTGCTACTGCTGTCCTTCACAAAAAAAACAACCATACGTCAGCATCTCTCTAAAAGAAAACTATTTCTACTGAGCATTATATTCGATATACTATAACACAAACATGGGTCGATAATAGACTTGTGGCAATACTTACAATTCCGGAATTTCTCCAACACTCTTGGCCCCACTGAGCTTCAGGTACTTGTAATGCTCTCTGTCGCAAGGAAAAAGTACAAAAGGCATTAAGCTACAGCAGTGTCTGCGGGGACATCATGGAAACAGATAGAAAAGGATGCTCAGGACAGGCTTCGCTGGAGTAATGCTGTTGATGGCCTGTGCTCCACTGGGAGTTAAAAAGGGCAAGAGAGAGTGTCTGCTTGAAACTGGACACCTTTAATCTGAAAACAGCAGCAAACAGAAAGGAAAAATAAATCCCCCAATTTTTTTCTTTTATTTGAGAAACCTCTTTAAACCAGAGAAAATTAGGCAGTCCCACAGAAGTCAGTTAGAACGACTTGCGTTGAATGCATAATTATAAGTGCATATCTTTTACACCCCCATCGACACAATTTAAATTTAATTCACTTAGAAGGTGGCGGCTTTGACCTGGTCTGTCAGAGCCAACTCAGGCTAAAAGGGATACAACATATCGGCAGACAGACAATAATCAAAACATCAGAATTAAAACTTGTATCTTCTGCACGATATAGTGAAGCACCGAACCAACTGCCATAACACAAACGATGACAAAGAAAACTATACTAAAAGTGTATATCAAGAGAACACTAAAGAACGTGAGCTTCGTGCTTTCTATTAGTAACTCAATTTGCCCTGTTTAGACGTAAACCACTTTGAACGCACTGAATTTCAATCGTAAAAACGGGTGTTTGTGCGAAATGGAATTGAAATTCTACACAACACAGGAAGAAGTAGGAACTCCCAGTAGCCAACAGCGAGAACAAACATATAGTTGGCAATTTTTTGAATCCAAAGGACTCTATCCACATGGCGCGGGAGGGTGGAGGGGG